AGATAATCTGTGGTGATGCTGAGCACTGCTGTCAGCACATGTATGAGAAGGCCCACCTCAGCGTGGCGCCACCCACAGACTTCATATAGATGGAGGGTTAATGGTTATTTGATTATTTCCAAATCTGCTTTCAACATTCTCTCTTTTTTCTAATGGACCTTATTACTAAGATTTTTTTGCATGGCATCCTAAATGGAACAGAAATGTTTTCTCTTAGAGCAAATGTTCCATATAGCTGTCAGTGACAAATTACTGCTGTAACGTCAGTCAGTTCACTGTCATTTCATCAGTGTTTGAGGTGATTACTTCAGATTTTGATGATTGAATTTCATCCAGCTGTAGAAAGATAGGATTGAAAACATTTCTAAGGTATCTCCTTTAAGTTGCTGTTTTGAACTGACATTTGAACAAAGAATGACATTTAATGATGTCCCATCACAGATATTTAACACTTATGACAGAAGTCTTTATTTGATCCATCATAACGTGTACTCATTTATTGTCTGTGAAGCTCCCTCCAGCTGGAGTTAAAGCCCTGCGTGTCCTCACAGAAGCTTCATCACTTACCTTGAAACCTGATCCAGTCTTGACATCCCAATTCCAAATATTATATTCTGAGGGGCTTTAAAAAAAGAGCACGGTTCCAAAATCAGTTTTAAAAGCACACCTTTCACCACTGGAGTGTCTCTAATGTGGACTGACAGAAGCACCAGTTTGACTCAGCTACAATGGGCCCATTTTACCAGCCTTTAGAGTCCAGCCCAGCCAAAGGAACGAGTCCAGGAATAATAAACATTTCATTTATACTTATCAGAACTGGAGGTCTGCTAATGCGTGCAGAAGTCTAACGCCAGCCCTCCTGCATGTCATAGTACGCAGGGTTGTCCCTGGGAGCAGTAATTGGCATGTATGGTGCCGAGTGTAACCACCCTGCCGCCAAGTCACCGTGAGTAAAGGGCTGGCTCCCAGCTAAAAACTGCTGCTGTCACCAAGATAATATACGGTATTGCAGAAAAAAAAAGCTGCCGATACCTGATCTGCTCTGTGAGTAGTGTTGGTGGTGATGCACATACAGTGAATCACCTCAGCAGAGGATGAAGCTGGACTCAGAAAAGAACCCGCTTTGTTACAGAAATGTGACGCAAATAAACCAAGCCTGGCTACAGCAAGTAGAAAAGGCATCAAAAACTTCCTGAACTGTTATTAGGTCAATGATAATTTATTAATTGATAAATACATTTAATTTAGGTGTGCAGCGTCAGATTAACCCGTTTGATGTGAACTTAACCTCCTTTTTTTCTGGTTTGATCTCATGCTGAACGTGGGTTCCAAACCTGGCCATGTGCATGTGCTTTCATTTGTTCCATGTGGCCTGACAGCAATCCCACAGGAAAGCAGGGACATGGAGGATTAAGGCTGAAGGAAAAAATTTAACAAAAAGGCCACCTGGCAGCTGAGCTCATGTGGACGAGTGAGTTAAAAAACAGAAAATGGTTTTAATGTCATTTTTCCAGTCAGACCTGTGTTCTTCGATGATTTGCCTGTTACTATGGCAATCGACAGGGAGATCATTTCTCATGATGCTTTTCTTTATGCGGAGCCCATGAAATAAGACACTAATTCACCAACGTCCTCAGCATGAGTTATTATAAGTCACTCCCAGAAATTTAAACTTTGTATACCACAGCTGTCATCCACTCAGACCGAGAGATAAACATGTTTATGGGCTCTCCTCTGAAATGTGAACCCCGTATAGAGACATCATAAACCTGCAAGGGCCCGATCTCCTGTGGTTGAAATGAGAAGTCACTTTCTATCCATGTACATGCAAAACGTGGCTGATTTCTGAACTAAATCGAACATTTTCCTGAGAGCAGATAGTCTTCATTACTTGTTTTACATCTGATGCAATGCAGCATTATGAGCCACTCAGAGTGAAAAAGCTGTGCTGTGGAGTGGGTCTGTGTTGTGATTGACAGCCCCTGTCCACCGGGAGCCCTCGCTGCCAGCAGCTGTCAGATCGACAGCTCATTTCTGACTTTTCTTCGGACGATGAATGGCCAGTGCAAGATATGAGTCCAAAAACAGACCGTAAGACAAAAAACAGGTCGGTTAACGAATGGCATCCATGCAAGCAAACGTCGTTATGCAGGCGATCATCTGGAATAATATCAGAATATTGAACATACTCAAGGAGTAATGCTGATTCTGTTAGTGGCCGGAAAATTTTAGACCATAACTTGCTAAACAAATGCTAAACATTTTTGAGTTTGGTCAACAGGGCAAAAAATATATATGTACACACAGATTTGACTAAAAGGAACGGCAACATTGAGATTTAAAGAACAAACATTTTAAGAAACCAAAGCTGTCCTGTACGCTTTACTCTGAGATGTGGGCTGGGTCCCATTACCTGCTTAATAATGACTGATTTGATAAATCTGCTGTAACAAAACGTATTTTTCTCATCCGTTGACCCTGGTATTTGGAAGAAAACCTGCACTTTAAACCTGTAGCCGTCATTTGGTTGTGCATGCAGACGTGCACTGTGTGTATAAAGCCCAGAGGTGTCTGGTGTAAGAAGGGCTGCTGGGGTTTCAGAGGCTGCTTTTCTTCGTGTGTACTGACTGTAGGTGTGTGTGACTGCTGGCGCTGTTGTAGATGAAAGATGTTGCATTTGCTGAAGTTGCTGCTGGTGTAGGTCAGCTGCAATAGGAGCCGTGTTCAGCTGCAGGTGGTGCTCTGCTTACTGGTTTGCATGCTCCCTCCTTTACATATTTAGTCCCTTCCTTCTTTTGGAAGCACAGTAACAGTGTCATTCTTCCGATTACTAATGAGATTATTTTAAGGACATGAGTTTGTCCATTGCGGATTTTAATTTAAAGTGTCTGAATTTTTAAATCTATCAAATTTACCAGCCGTCAGTCTCATTGAAGGCAGATGTTGGTGCATGTGTGCTCCTATCTGAATGTTGGTTGTAAATGTTCTATCATCGGCTGTTATTTTCTGGGTTTCCTTTCAAAGCAAAAATCTAAATAAATGAAGTGATGCTATTCTCACAGCTGCCACCTTGCAACAAAAGGAAGGCGACAAACTGATGCAATGTTTCTTGTGCATTAGCTTCTAAATATTCATCAATGCTAGGATTGAAGAATGAAATTAAACTGCTCCATTTGTGAGATGATGTGTTGTAGCATTTAATGGAGTCTCTTCTTTTGTCTCTAGCATGTTGTGTGGTGTGTTTTACCAACGGTGGCAGTTATCTTGTTTTTCAGTGGTGTTTTCTATGTATTTCTTGCTCAGACCTTCATGCAAATAGTGAAATCAGTTACAAATTGTGATAGATATAAAGACTCTTAACCTTATTCGAAGTGCTAAAATGGTTTTTTACATAATAGTTAAATAAAGCCCACAGATGCATTCTTATTTTTTTAGATGACAGATGTTTTATCCATTTTTACAAATAAGAAAGTTTTTATGAGCTTTTGAGACGGATGTTGTTTGAGGAGCCGTGTGTAGCAGGCTTTGACCTGATGATGACACATTAAGTCCCATATTAATAAGGTATCTCAGCTCATTGTCGGTGTCCTCATAAGGAGCTGAAGTATATTAATATTTGCTGGGAAACGACTACACTTGGAGTTAAGGACCACCTACCTATACCTGAAATCAGATCTAACACTACTGCATGTCTGAGCTTTCATGTCACTCAGATTCTGGATTTATATTCAGCATCAGACTTAGCCAAAATGCTCAGAGTGTTACTCTGAGCAGCTGAGTATGTTCATTTGCATATTAAGTTGGTAGGTTTTTAATAATGTGTGTAAACTGACATACTTTGAGCTGTCTGCTTGTGGTTCTTTCACCCAAGACTTTCCATGGTGACAACCAGGAGTAAACGTCCCCATTTGTTTTTAGTATTTGCTCATGGCATCAGAATGTGCCTCCACATGCTACTCAAGTGACCACGTCAGATCACATTTCGTTTTTTGCTCTGTGTGTAAATAAACATGCAGCCTGCATAAAACAGTCAGCTGTCGGTTGCTAGTTGGAAGTAAGAGGAAGGCAAAACTACTTTTTTTCCAAAATTCAACTTTATTTTAGATTCAGGCATTCCAGATTCAGCATTTCAACTCTCTTCCAACAATTTTGTTATAGATATGAACAAAATAGAAGAATGAGTCCAACAATTCTGTAAAAGACCTCCTTCTCCTCTGTTTACTGTAACAAAGCCAACAAAAATCCTCCACATTCAGCACTGCTCGGTCACAGTAGACAACCGGGATGCAGCCGACGCTGTAGGGTCCCCTTTGGGAGGGTTTTCTCGCCGGTGAACACAAATGGACACGAACTGGTTCTTTGTTGTCAGGGTGCGAAGAGACGTATCCAAGTGGAAACAGGGATTTTTTAGCAGGAGGCTTGTTGAGAAGGTGTGGTGGCCCAGCAGCAGCTGCCAGTGAGTTTAACCAGAGATGCAGAGTCAGACTCTGCCAGTGACCCCCGATTAATCAAGCACACAGCTGTCCTTGTCCTCAGAATACTGCCATCACAAGGTCAAATCATGTCCAGGACTAGTATATGCATAAGCCCCTTTGATGTTTATGCATTTATGATTTCTCTGTTCCAGCTCGGGAGGAAGTTTTACTTGTGAGTGAAACACTCAGAGTAATTTTTTTCCCATCTTCCGCACAGGGAAGAAGTGAGGTCCTCGCCATCGCAGTGACTGCGGTGGAGATTTGTCACGCAACTTGCTGTTGTATAACCATGAACTGAGGACCTCTGCCACTGCTCCACATCACACGTCTCCGCAGCACCTGCTCTTGGGTAGAGTTGCCCGCGTTGCCTTCCCACACGTGGACAGAGAAATGTGTGTGCGCCCGCTTCCTCAGGATGCATGACTGTGTCTGAGTGTTTTTGGACTGCACTTCCACTCTCATCTTCAGAGAGGCCATTTTCCACTTGACTGACTCCAGGATTTGTCTTCACAACTGCAAAGCATCATGGGTAGGAAAAAGATTCAGATCCAAAGGATCACCGACGAAAGAAACAAGCAGGTGAGTCATTATTATACAACAGACTGTTTTATTTTAATCGCCGTGCTGTTTATTCCTTTGGTTAATCTGCTCCAAAGACTCAAATCACAATAGCTTTATGAGTCATTTCATACTACATCAAAGACCGGCAGATTTGTAATCATGTTAGATATGCGTCGTTCGGGGAGTCAAAAGCTTTTTTCAGCTCTTTTATGAACATGTTCAGGTGGCCTAGGATGAGAGAGTGTGGATGCCCACTGCGGTCACTCTAAAGCTAATACCTTCAGTCTAATACCAGCAGAAAACGAGTGATATTAGGATACCCGGGTCGGTAAGGGAGGCTTTATGCTCTCCAGTGCAAACCTGCAGGTTTCTCAGTAGTGACATATATGTCATCCTATATTTGCTGTCCAGGCAAATAATGGCGCAGCATTAGGACCGTTTGTGATTGGAGGCCCGTGTGAACTGTTCATCAGTGAAGATCATAAAGAATCCAGATAAACTAGTGGCGTTTTCATCCGGTTTCCATGAGCAAAACAGCACTTGGGTTTGTACACATCTAGTAACACCATAAAATGTTCGTAAAAAGCATATTGCACCATGAGCTGCAGCTCCGCTGTGGGGCCACAGAGAGTGGAGCCTACCTTCAGCCAGCTGTGTTTATAGCGAGGAGCTTGAAAAGGATTATTGGACGATTTGAATCTCAAAATTGAGATTGCGTGTAATGCTGGTTCATAGGTCTGCTGGATGTAAAGGATTTAATGGACAGCTTTGCATAGCTGGAAGGGCAGGAAGTTCACCTTTCATGTAAAAGACTTTTGTTTCAGGTTCGGCACAGACAGTATGGTTTTATCTTTGCTGCTGCTCTCACACCAGATTTTCTCACATAAAGGTGGCTAATAGTTTCATTGCTGTATTGGATAACTGGAAATAGAAGCAGGCTCTTAAGCATAGCCTTTTTTTTAAACATTCCTTAACTCCTGTGTGTTGTTTTTGGGGTATTTGTTATGAGACTGGATCTTCTGCAAAGATTTTTAAGCCAGGAAATGCATTTATGTGAATTTACCCAGCACAGTATGTGATATACTGCTATCATTTCAAATCCAATTTCTGATGGTTTGCTGATATAATATAATAATATTTTATTGTTTCAATGGGACTGAACAGCCAGACAGAGAGATGCTGTCTGCAGACGGTGAAATTGATAGATTTTGTATCTCTGTTCGGGGCTGCCAGTCTCCTTATGGTCAGTAAACTTGTCTCTGTGAGGAAACAGTGAGCAGTGCCTGACGGCAGCTTCCTATGTGAAGTTTAGTGTTGTCTAAAAAACTTGTTAGTGTAAAAGTGACTTTGGTCCAGGGGCCCTTCAGTGCTGGGAGTGGGTCACCTTTGTCAGGCTGCTGGGATGAAGAGTTGATCCACCGATGTCTTCTGAACCTGCAACCAAAGTTGATTTGGTGTGCTTACAAAAATGTAGTCAGCATTGAGGCTTTAACAAACAGTGCAGTCATGGCTCAGCTGACTTTGTGATGCGTGGTTGATGTGAGGATGGGCACGGCGATGTGGGGCTGGGCCGCCTTGATCTGACAGGTGTGAATTACCCAAAAAGAAGAGGGGCAGCCACAGCAACTGGTGTGAAAAGGGTAATAACTAGCATTCTGCCATGTCTTTGATTAAAATGACACACCTGTGAAGATGCCACACATTCACCAAACAGAGGAACACTTTAATGCAGATTCATTTGGATAATCTGTCACTTAATTATCCGAGAGCTTTATCTGGCTGAGAATGGTGTTTGGAGTAAGATTCTCCAGTAATTATCGTAACTCAGGTTTGGACTACGTTTATGTTATTTTACTTGTTTATTTTTTTCTCCTAAAGAAAACAGGTTTATATGTATTTTGTACATTCTGTTTCTGCCAGCTCTTTGTCTTTTTACACCTAACCCCCCCTTTAGGCATACACATGCTTATGTTTAAAGTCATTAATGTCTTGTTTACAGAAGGATACAGCCGTTCTGCATGAAAATGCCGTCAACAAGCTCTTCTTGATTCGAAGATCATGTTAGGACATTTTTCATGACAAAATGGAAAGCGATTAGATTGATAACCATGCAAAACTTTCCCACATTTTTCAGAAATCTTATTGAAAAACATTTACTGACTAAATCCAGAAGTGGAGCTAATGGCCACCCCTCATGACAATGAGGCAGCGTGTCTGAATTCAGTGAAGTAATGACTTCCAATAAGTGCTTTAAGGACACTCACCATGTTAGTTTAAGAGTTCATTCAGAATAAAATCATCTTTCTGTAACAGAGGAATAATCAGCCAGTGGATTAATTAAAGAAATAGTGGTCCAGTGATAATGACGCCCCATTAGTTGGGTCATGAAAATGCTCAATGATTGTATTATTGTCCCACTCAAATATCCACAGTTTTGGTAGTGAAAGGTCTCAGGCCTCTTCAGCTCTATTTGTTGTTTTCCTTTCCTCCTCACAAGTGTTCACCACGTGAAGCTGCCACCCCACTTCTCAGTAATGATGGTGCTGGATGAGGAATGAGTCCAAGCTCTGCCAAAGAGCTTTGTAGCACAGTCGAAAAGTTCAATTATGTTTTCATCACACCACTGACTGTTTTGTCTCTCAGTGTACCAAGTCTTTTTCCTATCAGCGTTCCTACAGCGCTGTCATTTTTTACATGACTGACCCGGTCTCTCTAAGACATTTGCTTTCATTGAAAGCTGCAGTGGTTGTGTCTGGAAGCTGGAAACTCTGCTCAGGGCTCGCTTTTTCCCCTGGATTAAACCATTTTTGTGTAACACCAAGAAAGACTTTCATTCCAGTTCCATGCAATAAATTGTGTCTAAATGAATTAACAGAACTCTGCTTGTTCTCCCTTTCTTGATTTCAGGTGACGTTTACGAAGCGGAAGTTTGGCTTGATGAAGAAAGCCTACGAGCTGAGTGTATTGTGCGACTGTGAGATTGCTCTCATCATCTTCAACCACGCGAACAAGCTGTTCCAGTATGCCAGCACTGACATGGACAAGGTCTTGCTCAAATACACAGAGTACAACGAGCCACACGAGAGCCGAACTAATGCGGATATCATCGAGGTAAATCATGACACCAACAGGGTTTGAGAACAAGTGAGAGGTCACACAACAGCTTGACTTGAGCTTTCGGAAATCTCGAGAAGTCAATTAATGATCACAGAAATCTTTGTTTTAACCAAGTTAAGAGCTTAACTGTTTTTTATTTAAATTGTTTCACAGTCAATTTCGGTCTGTGGTTCTTTTTTGTTCAGGGCTTTGATTTCATAAATTTTGAGCAAGTATCTCAACATTTAAAACATCCATCAGCAAGAAAGTAAAGAATTTCTTCCATTTGGTGGTAGATAATTAAAGAAATTGGGAATAGCAGACAATCGTGAGCCTCTCTGACTGCAGCGTCCATGCAGGAAATAAATATATTTGTTTACTGTCTTATCTAAAACTGCCCAGTTTTTTAATTGCTTCCTTATTACCTTACTTGTTTACATTCACAGACTTTGAGAAAGAAAGGTTTCAATGGCTGTGACAGTCCAGAGCCAGACGGCGAAGACTCCATTGACCAAAGTCCTCTCAATGATGACAAATTTCGTAAGACCACAGAGGACCTCGATGTTCTCTTCAAACGCTACGGAGTAAGTGCCCGAAGCTAGACGCTGAGTATTATCTGATGTCAAACTCTGTTGTGTTGTTTTCTGTTGACTTGCAGGGCAAACGTTTGTCAATTGTATCTCTGTTTTGCCTAAAGTGCAGACAGGAAACGGCTTCTGGTTCGATGTTCCTCTTTATTCTGTGCAGAAATCTTTCATCGTCACCGTCAGAGTCTGTTCTTATGCCCTTACACCTGACCGTAGTTCTCACACTGTAAAGAAGATCTAACATAGATCTTATTCACTAGTACTTTCAGACGGTTTTCAGTGATGGGCTGATACCTTTGACACATCAGTGTGTTTTGTTACAGCTCCGACATCCACAGGCTCCCCCTTCTGACCCCCTTCAGGTGGCACCTACATATGATGGTTTTCTATTCCACATCACTTGTTAAATTCTCTCAAATGATAGCTGGTCAGCATATGCTGGTCATGAGTGTGCTGTGACTGGCAGAACCCACTGTGAGGCTGGAAAAAGAAGTGAGAATCTTCAAAAAGCTGGAATTACCGTCTTTCCACCCCTTATTGAATTGAACCCACGGGGGGTTATCAGTGTTAATTGGCTCCTTGTTGTAATGCAGCTTCTTTGTCCCAAAACCTAAAGAATGAATAAGGGCAGCTTATACGATAAGAAAATCTCACTCTGTAGTTTCCTTTTAAGTTATTATTAAGTAATTTCAAAATTACATGTGCGTTTTGGCATCTAAAGCAACTATGTGATACAGTTATTATAGCTGTTTTCGACCTAATGCAGCACTCATGTCTGAAACCTTATATGACAAAATGCTTTTTTTTCTTCCAGTCATGTTTGTCAGATTGCACAGTCTCCTTTCCGGGGTGTATCCGCCTCTCACCCCATGTCAGCTGAGAGAGGCTCCAAGCGATTTGAACAATGAATGAATGAATGAAAGATTGCACAGCTTGGACTAAAGACAAGTTTCTCTTGTAACCCTGCAGCAGTCAGCAGCTCCGCCCCAAACCTTTACCATGCCCGTCACAGTCCAGGCGTCCAGTCAGAGCAATCTGCAGTTCAGTAATCCTGGCAACGCACTGGTAACTACCTCCTATGTCACATCATCATCGCTCACGGATACCCACCTCCTGTCACCGCAGCAACCAGCTTTACAGAGAAACACTGTGTCTCCTGGGTTGCCACAGCGACCAGCCAGTGCAGGTGAGACCGAAGTCATCCCCAGACTCTGAGAAACCAGCAGAAACACACAAAGATTCTCAGTCCAGGGATTTTTCTTCTGTTACAGTATCGTCTCTTCTTTCCCGTGTTCAACTCGGGGACACAATGACGTTTAAGTTCATCGTTATCCGATGAGCACGTGCTGTGTGTGGCTCCATGACATTAAACATAACAAGCTCTTTAAGTCCTCTGGGAGTCGTGCTTGATACTCCCTACTATTTGTTCTCTGACACTTTTAATTATGAAAGGAAGTTGGGGAGTTTATATTTTTTAATTAAGTTTTTATTTTCCTGGTAAATTTGAACATCCTGTAAGAGTGAATACTATTCTAATAGAGCAGGAAGAAGCATATCAATTTCGTTTCATCAGGATGTTTGAGAATCTAATTTGGGTTATGATGAGTGAATGCTTTAGAAAGTTTAATATCTTTAAATCCAAGTCTAACCTCAGCTAACCTTAAGTCCAAACATTTCTTTTCTTTTAATCTTTCATCACTAGGTGCTCTTCTTGGAGGCGACCTAAATAATTCAAACGGAGGATGTCCGAGTCCAGTCTGTAAGTAATTTATATTTGTTCAAAATCTAAGCTTCTATTTCTTCTTTTTCATCGCCAAGTGTTCCTGTGTGATCTGATTTGTTTGGATGTATTCATTCCTCCTCTGCACAATCTGCGAACGTACCTCAGTTTGATGTTTGCATGCTGGTAGTAACACCAACACAATTTTTTGGGATTCACAGCATTTCCTCGGAACAGTTGGCAGTAATGGTCACAATTTGACATTACTTCATGTCTGCTCATTGTATTCATATTGTTGGTTTTAATTCTTGGTTCGAATGATCACAATGTCTAACTATACTCAGCGTTTCAGTCAAGCAGCATGCAGACTTTAACTCTCTTGACACAAACACACCTCTAAACCTTAAAAAGAGATGAAGGTTTAAAAGGGAAACCACTTGAGGCTTATGTAACAGCGCTGCCCTCACCTGTTTGGTTTTCTTATTGATTTCTGTCCATTGGTACCTCCATCTCCCTGCAGCTAATGGATACACCAGTGCCAGGGCCTCCCCAGGTCTCCTCACCGTTTCCAATGGCAACAGTCTGGGGAAAGTAGTTCCGGCCAAGTCTCCACCTCCACCTCCCAGCCCCCAGATGGTCAACAGCCGCAAGCCAGACCTCCGAGTCATCACCTCACAAGGTGGAAAGAGCCTCATGCAGATGGTGAGATCAACTAAGCTGAACTTGGGTTGTCTGGCTCCCTTGTTTTGGTCCTTTAAGTTTTTACTGAATAATTGGTCTCATCCTGAGTAAAAGAAACCCTGTGGCCTGAGATGGTAGAATGGAGCACAGGAAAGCGACCCCATTAACATGTGAGGTTATCTTAAGAAAACTATAAGATAGTAGTTACTTTTCTATTACTTTTCTGTCTCTGCCCGCTGACTGGAATGAATAGATGACATTAAACAGCAGGAGTTATTATTGAAGTATTGAATGAAAGTCAGGAATTAGACCAAAGATAAACAGTCTATTAGAGGGCTGTTTGACACCATTTTACTGTTCCTTCTAAGGAACTTTAGGGAGCCACTTTTTTTTTTCCGGCTTAACACTTGAGAACCAATATCTCATTATTTACTCTGGCAGAGTTGGAAGAGTCTCTGAATCCGCCAGCTCCAACTGACAGACAGCTGTGATTTCTCCCACTTCTTGAACTAAAGAACAGAATTTGCTTATCCAGACTGAAAAACCGACTGAGACCGTTCCAAAAAACGATGGGTTTGCTGTTTATGGATGAGAGCGCTGCACTGGTCAGGAGATTTGAAACCGAAATAATGTTTTAAATAAACAGTTTTACAGAAGGGAGGGCGCATGGGTCAAAGCATGCATCGAGCACACAAAATAATAACATTTAAATGTGATATAAAGATTCCAGCTGAATGATCCACTTCAGCACAGAAAAAGGGGTGCAGGAGGACTAAAAAAAACTCTCCCCTACCTCAGCAGGCCAGCTTCCTTTTTGCTGAGATTATATAAATGCTCAATTTCAGTCTTCTGTCCTCAGCCTGGACTAGCTGTCTTTTTTTCCTAAGGTTTCTGTATATAATTGTATTTCTGGCTGAGGCTCAGTTTATGCTCCCTTTGTTAAAGATTTAACATGTGACTTTACCATGAAAAGTGACTGTGTGCTAAGCATTAGTACTAAAAATCAGTCCACACCGTCCACCAGTCAGAATCCACATTTTTAGGTTGATCACATGATCACAAAATATTTTACTCTGAATTTTAAAAGGCCAACATTTTTTTTATTGTTGAGTTTGCTTTAGTTAGGTAGCTTTAATCTGATTGTTCTGTGTTTTTTTTTTACTCACTCCGGAGTTGTAACCCTTTTTGTTACCACCCTTTGCAGACAGAGGATGAACTGGAATTGGTAAACGAGGTGATTGTTCTCCACGTCAGTCACTGGCATGAGTCGATGGCACATCGGCTGTCCACTCATTTATAGCATGGATGCAGATCTCTAAAGGAGTTTTTATTGTATTGTTCTCACTCCACTGACATTTTAGGGGGTGGTGTTGAGTTTGTGCTTCCCACCCAGCTGCATGTGGTTCAGGGCTCATGGATGCATTTCTTTAGCCTCTCAGAATCATGATAATGTAGAATTTGGATCTCTTAATGCACAAATTCATGATGCTATTGCAGAGGTGTCTGTGAGCGATCCCCTCAGGTTTGAACCACATCATAACATACGATGCCACTGAAAGCATGGGTGTCTTCTCACTTGGCATTGTGGTGCAAAGCACCACGGAGCATGTTCAGTGTTCACAGACAATCACACACTCATTTTCACCATCCACCAGACGAAGTGTCAATTACAACCTTTTAAAACTAACTGGAATTACATTAAAGGCATGTAACTTAAAGGTTTGTCCTCAGTTGCATTTGTATTTGCCTGTTGTGTATTTGCACGTTTGTCTTTTAAGATGCACTCTTTGGTTCTTTAATTTAATTTGACATGGAAAGATTAAATTACTACTTAATCTTAATATTACTCAGAAATGCTTCTGTTTGATGGTTTAATATGAGGAGAATTATGACCTTTTAGAAACACACTTCCAGAAAATAATTAAACCAACGCAAACAACGACGATATGATGAAGAGAGCTTTTTATCCTGGAGGAATCCCAGTTTTAAATCTAAGAATAATTTACCCTGTGAGGAATGGTGGCCGCTGCTCTTTGCTGATGGCATTTGCCTTTCACCCCCCTCCTCTACAATTCCTCTCATAGTTGACAGGCAAGATTCTCATTTTCCAGAGGATGGTGATTAATTTTCATCACTTTCACCCTGTCGCCCCTCCTTATTTCCTCAGAGGCAGATAATTGAATCTGTCTTCTCTTCGCCGGCCTTCTCCTCTCACTCTCTAAATTTAGTGTTTTCACAGCCCAGGCTGAATCTTCCCTCTCATACAAGCGTTATTCCAAACGAGAATTAAAACATCTTTGGCCTTTTGTAGCAGATTTTTTTTCCATCTATGATATAATTACTCTTTAGTTTGGTCTTACTGGTTAGCAATACGTCTGTCACATCTGAAATGAGGAAACACTGAATATATCTTCATGCTGGATGAGATGTCACGACGTAAAACAAGAACTATGTCACAAAAGATCTGTTTCATTTATGAATTTACTTGCATAAATTGAATGTACTTTACTTGCAGTTAGTGTAAATACGCAGGAGACTGCTACAGGAGTTTTCATGCATACTAATGCATTTTTAAAGTTTAAATAAACATACTGCATTTTTACCATTTATCTGCTTTTAAGTAACCCAAATACTAAAACATCTTCCTCGTGAATATTTATTCCAGTGTTACAGTGTACATTTAGTTTGTGATGTAAGGAACAGCGTTGGCAGTGAGAACTTGTTTTTTGACCTTTGTTAAAGTCTTTATTGAACACTCTGAAAGTCCTCACTAGAGTTTTAAAAATATGACATTTAAACTGAGGGTTTTTGTAATTTTAGATGAAGTAGATGCAGATCGACAAAAAAAATTCAGTCAGTTTTTGTGCAGCAGTTCTCTGCTCCTCCCCCACGTTTATTAAAATGTGGTTGGTCCGTCTTTTTTCATATTTGTAAAACGATGCAAAAGGTCATATTGCCCTCTCAAAGTCGTGTTTGTCCACACGCTGGAAAAATTCTGCCATGGATTGAAAAGCGTCACGTATGTTATTTTATCGTCCTTTCTGGATGCGGATTACCTTTAAAGTGCTACGGTTTCAGCTTTAGTTTCTAATGCAGCTTTTTTTTTACAACTCACTGAGGAAAAATTGCCTTTGATGAAATTCTATGAGTGTCTTACTTGGGAAGAAAAAGTCGTTTTGGATGCATGTCATCAACAACGTCTGGAGATTTACTTGATGTGCAACATCATCTTGAATCCAGCCATGTACACATTGTCATTCCCAGCATGTCCAATTGATTGTGTCCAAAATGAACCTTATGAGTCTGACTTTTGGATGCTGCTTCCTGCTTTCTAGTAACATTTTGCCTTCCTCTGTGGCAGAATGCCCAGCGGCTGGCAGCTGGAGCCCAGGTGGCACAGAGCCTCACCACGCCGGTGGTCTCTGTGGCCACACCGAGCCTCGTGGCGCAGGGGCTGCCCTTCTCTGCCATGCCCACAGTGTACAACACAGGTGAAGGGGAACAGCTTTGTTTTAAGCTCTTTCCGCTGAAAATGGAGCCAAACTAAATCGCACTAAGACGATCCTTTTTGTTGAGACTCTTGTGTCGTTTGCCATCTCTCAGAGTACCAGCTGACCAGCGCAGACATCACGGCTTTACACGCTCTGGCATCGCCCGGCGGCCTGTTGCCCACCAGCGTGTCCACATGGCAACAGCAGCAGGCCGTATCCCAGCAACCGCCGCCGCAGCAGCAACAGCAAACACAACAACAGCAGCAACAGCTGAACCTCGCATCGCTCAGCAACTTAGTGTAAGTGTCATTCTTAATGTTACCCTCTTAACAGAGCTTTTCCTCAAGGCAGAGATAGGGACGACGCTCCCAACAGCCTCCTCTAACAGCTCTCAGTCTACCGATAACATTTCCAAAGCTGACATAATGACCCTCCCAGTTGCTTGCATGATATCCATATCATGACCTTAAATGCAAGCAAGTCATGCTCTCTCTTTAGTGAAATGATCTCTCACCAGCATCTCACCATCTCAGCCTTGTCATAACATCAGTAACGGTTTCCCTCGCTGTCCAATGGTGAGCAGCGCAAGACGTTGTTGGAGGGAAGAAGTGGTTTGTTTCCTCTGCAAATCCCACGCTGAGACCAGGGTCAGGTTTACTTACACAACTTCAAAGCTTGGAACAACTGGTGGCTCGAGTTGTGTCCCCTGTCCTGGAAGTCATTGGTGGGTTTAAGCCATTAAGCCATGCAGGATTACAAAGACGAAGGAAAAAACATCAGGGCTCATTTTCTAAAAGATGTTCTTAATAATTCCAGTCAGTGTGTCAGTATAACATTTACCAGGTCCACTGTTCTGGTCTTAAAAGATTTAGCTTTCCTGTGAGGAAGTGAAAACTTCTGACAGCGCGCTGACATAATTGAATGTGTTTAAATGCAGATATTTTGTACAAATGACAGTATTGTCCAAATGTGATTTAATCTAATAAGACAACAGCAGATCCAGAGGTGTTTGTATTAGATCAGTGGCCTTTTATTTTCTATTTTATTTTAAATATATGTTCAGAATTTTGAGGGCTCCAGCTGGCTTTAACTTGAACGCTAGATCCTTGAAGTATGTTTTCTCCTCTTGTCCACAGCATGTGGGGTGTGGATAAACAGAGCAGCGAGCTGTCTAGCCAGGTGTCCAGTTTGGCTGCCAATCTGAGGTGAACAGCCACTGCTAGTGTGTGCGTGTGTGAAATGTCATGGCCTTGTCTACTCTGTACGGGGGGGGGGGTTATTAAGGGATTTAGATGATATATTTTCAGATACAACAAACATATGTGTTACATATGGCATATTTGTTGTTAACAAAGAATAAATAGTCAAAAACTTTACAAAGTTATGGTAACAAAAATTGTTTCATCTGACTGAAACGTCCGATTTATTCCAGATAGCTTTTTATGGTAGCATTTTACTGTTATCGTTACACCATCATTAAACTTCAGTTTTGTGGAGAAACTGTACATAAATTTAAAAGTCAGAGTTGAACTTATCAGAGACCTGCAGAATAGTGTGATGTCATATCTTGATATAGTTAGAGGCGAGTCCCCTCTGACCCGAGGGTAAACACGCAGGGACATGCAGTGGGAACAGATTGAAATAAATAAATCGATCAATTAAATCAGACGTGTTTGACCCGCATGTCATCAATCCTATCATGTTAGCTTCATTTGTATGCAGAGCTTCAAGAGTCCTGCCCCTTATTTGTTCAAGTAGTCAGACTGCCGTTTTTCCTCAGTCTTATTTAATGCGGCAGCCCTGAAACAAATGAAAACCAGGTTTGATCAGACCAAGCTCAGGCACGGGTAAAAACGGGAATATTTGGATTCTCAAAATGTTTTTTTTTTTAATATTTCAAAAACACAAACTGCATGATTTATATGCATGTGTGTTTCCACTTACAGTCAGCGGGTGAGAGGGGGCGGGAAAGCCGAGCCAAGGTGCTCAGTGTTTCCGCAGTGCCTTTCGAACATATTTTGGTCGTTAAGGGCCACCATACTGTCACTGTCCTAACAGTGTACTGTCCTTTACAGTGTAAATGTTCCACATGCTGCTTTTATAGATCAGAAAACAGTGTTGTCTGATTTATGGTGTGCTGATGGCAAAAAATGTGTTTCTGAAGAACATTATTGCTGCCATTTGAGGGGGAAAAAACAAACAAATTTTGCCCGCAATAATGCTTCACACCTTTCTCCACACACGCCATCTAATCCACCTGTTCCCTTTGGTTTGGGCTCCAACATTTTGTTTTCTTCCCACAGTGTTGGCTCTCCGTCCAACCTGCTCTTGGGTAGAGATGAGTGGTTGGGCCGGTACTGTATCACTCTTCCTTTTTCCTGTGTGTCTGTGTGCGCTTTTGGCTGCGTCCCTCCAAGCATGTCTGCTGCTGTCTGCAGTCAAACAGGAAAGAGACGTATTTCCGGTTTCCGCCCTGTCCTCTAACCCCACGTCACGTTCAGTTTTTCATTTGCAGCCTCTTCACGCCATTTCTGATTCATTGCAGACCACCCTGTCACACTCAAACCATTTCATGCTTCAAAGGCTGTTCTGTTGATCTTTTGGGAGCAGATGGGGGGTGCACCTCTACTTTTAAACGGCTCAGAAAAGAAGACTGTTGTTGAATAATCGAGTGTGGCTTTTCTCTGTCGGTGCTGTGCTGTAATGTCGGGTTTTGTCTTCATTTGAGTGGCCTTTCTTGTAATCATATGCTTTTGTCAAGTGGTCAATCGATTTGTATTGTTATTTTTATTTAAATATATATATTTTTGTCCTTGTCCCACCCCTCATCTTTCTGCTATTTTTTCCCCCCCCATGACCTTGTTCTCAGGCCGGTGACCAACATCCATCAGGGCGCTATGCTAACCGTCAACACAAACTCCAGTGTGAGCATCAAGTCCGAGCCCGTCTCACCCGGCCGGGACCGCAGCACCCCGTGTCCTCCTCCATCCTCCACCACGCCGTCCTCGACCTCGGGGGGAGCCGTCCTGACCGCCCCGCCGCAGTACCCCGGCTCGCTGCTGTGTCTGGAGCCTCCCACCGGCCGCTCGCCCGCAGACAGCGTGAGCAGCAACGCCAGCTCCTTCGAGGGCAGCGATCGGGACGACACCGGCGCTGCCGGCGGAGCCTCTGGTGGAGGCGGCGGTGGTGGCGGCACCAGTGGCGAGCTCCTCAGGGTGTCCAATGACCCAGAGCAGGAGGGGGGGAACATAAAGCGAATGAGACTGGACGCCTGGGTCACATAGAGCCGCCCCCTCTGCCCCCACAGTGAAGTAGTGAAGTTCAGTGACTCTTACAACACACAACCACATCATTGTTAGCACCCCCCCCCACCACCACCATCACCACCACCACCCCCCCACTGCCATGTGACACTACCACCACACATCTGCCTCTGTCCAAAAATCTACTTCTCAGCTGCGACTCCCGGACATCCGAGGCTTTGCCAAAAAACTTAGCGGAGGAGAAACGCTCTGGGTGAGTGGAGGTGGCTCCCAGCTGGGTTTGCGTCCCCATAGTTTTTTTTTTTTTAAGCCTCCTTGCTTGAACGGATCTTCGTATTGTGATTTTTCTTTCAGCAGGAATGAGTTGTTCAGCCATTTTGTTTTGCAGTCCGGTGACAGCGGGAAAAGGCTCCCCTCACCAGGCTTTGTGCGCCCTCTCCCCGAGTTCTGACGTTGCTCGCAATGTGATTGGTGGTTCGGCCACCTCGTGGGACGCTTGCTACACGACCCGCCACTTTGCTCTTTACAATCCAACGTCATTTAAATCATGTGCTGTCCACTCTGCCCGAGTCACCTCAAAACTGCACTAATGGAAATGACTTGAGCTGGACAGGTTGGAGGGCTGAGCAGCTACCTGTCAGAGGACATTTGAGTGTGAGCCTCATTCAGCCAGGCCGGCTGGGCCCTCAGGGGGCTCTACGCGGCCGTGGAGTCGAGCACCCTGCTAGAGTGCCAATCTTCAAGATATAAAACAAACAAACAAACAAAACAAAAAAAGCCAAATGCCTCTCTCCCCCAGGGCGCAGGGACACCAATCACTCGCACTGACGTGGAAATATTACAAACAAAAAACTGACTTCAGGCTTTGTGTCGGCCCTCACTTTGCTCACTGGCCGGGGGCTCCCCCCCCCTCACCTCAACTCACCTTTTCTGGAAATTGGATGGAAATTGTTGCAACAGAAATCCAGCCCGTCGCTTCCCTCATCGCCAGGAGTAGATGCCACCCAGTTTAATGCATAGGAAGTTTTATGAGCCTCCTTTCTGTTTTTTTAAGTAGGGAAGTATTCGCTTCTAGGAGTCCGACTGTTCTTTATCTGTTGGCATTTGAAAAACCTGTTTTGAAAGTCCTATAGTCGTCCAGGAGTAAAAGTTCTGACCCTATGTAAAAATCACTCCTAATACAAAAGCTTTGATGTCCTCCTCAGCTCTATATCTCCCCTTAGCTCTTTGCCGTGTTTGGAAAAGTGAAAGGAAGAGACATTTTCTATATTTCTACCGCTTCAAGTTGGCGACAAAGTTAAATAGCTTTTCAGCTTCAACGACGTGTATGTACATATGAATATATTTGCATAGACTTTGCTAGGTATCCCTAAAAACAAGCAATGTGTTAATTCTCAGTGGATCTGTTTGCATATATGAGTGTGAATTTGATATGTTGCGAGCTACGGTGCAGGAGTTCGGCCGCCCCCTGTGGTGCCGGCCGATCGGACTCCTTCCAGTAATCCTATTTTATTCTAGTGTTGATGGTGTGCGCACTTTGTCTCACTCACAGAGGCCTGCTTGGTCGTGGTGTCATCATCTTTCTCTTGCCACGTATTTCTAAACCCCACAGCTGAAGGTAAATTGTACACGGTGATGTAAAGTCATTATTATGAATATTATTAATATTATTATCATTGTTAGGACACTGCCATTCACTCTTAGTGTAGTTCTAGAGATAAAATACACTTAAATTGAGTGTATTGTGTAAAATCTTTTCCACACTAAGCAGACACACACGATGCCCGTTTTCACTCTTTGAAATTAAGTCGGTAATTTGATTTCAGCGTCGTGGAACTGCGTATATTCCTGAACAAATGAGTTTTGTCTGATCCATTTCAAGTTGGTGTAAACGTGTGTGAACCAGGTTGTTGATCGTAGAAAAGCTCCTCTCGGTTGCTCGAGCCTTTTTTTCCTTGAGACGACGCTCAGAGTGCAGACGGCGTGTGGGCCTGCCGCTGGGCCGCTGCCGCTGGTCAGCACCCAGGAAGAAGCTCCAGCTGGAGGCTGGCGGGTCTGACGGCAGTGTTATGTGCCATGATCAAATCAAGGTGGGTGACGCTCGACTCTGTCGGCCGCGCTGAAGAATTGGAACACCCAGCAAACTCCCGTTAGAGGAAAATTGACCCTTAAAGGAATTGTGGCAATATGGAAAACGTATTCCCTTCTGTGTTTAGATATGGCTCTCTTTTTCTTTCTGTGGCGAATGTGACGCTTTAGCTTTGGTTGGCGGTGGCCTTTGGAGGAAACGCCTCTCTGCTCTGTTCAGGACAACACAGCCCACAGAGCCAGCATTAAGTGCTGACCATTTTGATAAGAACATCACAGCTTAGGCCCAGTATGATGGAAATGGGTTTGGATTCTTCTAATCGGTTCCTGAAAAGGAGCTGTGCAGATCCAAAGAATCATTCCTGTGTCCTACACGCTGGGCAGCAATGTCAACTACTTCATGAAAAGTCAACCATTTTTTTTCTCTTTCAAATGTTCAGGGAAACAATCTGACCCCCGTTAGGCTCCCTGACCGGGTATGTCCCAGCTGACCCCAGATCCCTTTGTCACAAAGCCAGACCGAGCCTGCTCCACCAAGTCCCCGTCAGATTTTGGTCAATATGACGTTGACCATGTCGTTGTGGTTAAAACTTTGTAAATTTGAGAAAAAGCGCTTCAGTTTCAGACGGGCGTCATTAAACTTTAATGGGAGCAGAGAACGGCTGTACCTCTTCAGTCCATTCAGACCGAAGGTTTTGTTTAAAAAACAGCCTTCTCAATCTCTGAGTTTTTCTTTGGGCTGGAAAGTTTGGTCTCATGTTAAATATTTGCACTTATTCTCCCAGTCTTTTGTTCACGATTTTTACATTCATATTTACAATAAGAGTCAGAGGAATAGTTGTTGATGAGCAACACTAAAAATCTCCTGGTGGAAAAATAAAAGGATCTGCTAACAGTTTCTGTGTACCTGCTCAGTAAAGTGGATGCAGCCCTGATGTGCTGCTGGCTTTGAGAATGTCCATCCAGACTGTTAAAGGCTTTGTGGGTTGGTTCCGTTTGGATTTGTTGTGATTCTTCTGGTGAGTTAGTGTTGGCTGTTTCCTGGTCGGCTCGTGTGGTGAAGCCTCAGTTCCGTCAGAAATGTCTCTTTTTGAAGGGGCAGAAACTGGAGACAGAAAACGGTTATCTTTGCATGCAAACGGTTGACTTTATGCCTCAGCGTTGAAGCATTTGAACGAGGCCTCACGCTTTAGGGAAACAGAAACGTGCATCGGCCCACAGAAGGACTTCATCGCCATTTTTTTCCTTTTTCCTTTACAAACCTAGTTTCCATGGCAACTCTTTGGTGGGCACTGATGTTTGACTGAAATGTGACACCACACCGATTAGCTTTGTCCATGTACAAAAAGGTTCTCTGTCCAATCTAGCAGTGTAGTCATGAGACAATCTATATGAGCAAGATGAGAAAACCTGCACCCCTGTTACTTGTTGTGTACAATGTTTTTTAGAATCTCACTATTTTTGGATTAATTTGTGCTGGTGACAGTTCCATTGTCTATTATTATAATGATGATATTATTATGGAGCTTCTTATTTTATTGCTATTTTGTGTAGGATAGCCAACTGTTTTTATTTCCTCTCTTCTTTTATCTTCTTTATCATAAACATACAGTACTGGTTTCCTTTTCTGAAACAACTTGCTGAAAATTGCACGATCAATTCTTGTGGTATTAGCAAATGCAATGAAGGAAATACCAGTTAAATGCTGCAGTTTTAATTAAGATATATAATATATTTATTTAAAAAAAACGGGAAACAACTGAAATTAGTAAATCATGAAATTTGAAACATGTAAGTGCATGGGATACAGGTAACAAAGCTAAAGTTACGTACAGTAATGATAAGGACATGCGTCACAAACGAGTTCAAACAGCTCAGAATAATGTAGCATATGAAATACTAAAGATGAAATTTATAGCTAATATATTGTGTCGAGCTGGTCTGCTTTGGGTTTTATTGTAAAGAAAAAAGTTCTTGTTTTTGTTTTCTTTTTTCTTTTTGAGAATGATATACAATTTGTGTATATTTTCATATACAAAGTATGCACTGATATGTTATTGAAATTCTATACCGCTTTTACAAAAAAAGTGTTTGTTGTACCAAAGTATCCAAGTCCCTTGAAACCTTATCCTTTTTGCGTATGTTTTACCGTATTTTATATATTAAATAGACAAACTGAGTGAAACGGATCTGAGTCTGTGGTTTGTTTTCTGGTTGACTGTGAGGACCAGCAGAAATTCTTGGGTGACGTCGTTTGAATCCACACTGCTGTTTAAGTTTGCCCCCCCCCCCCCCCCCTCATTGTCACAGCTACACAAGTGCCATGCCGCCTCATTTCACACATTCAGGTGATAACTAGACGGCTAAATTCAGCTGATTTCTTGTGATCTTTTGTGGATGAAAGCAGCACCAGACCCTGAAATGAAAGAGTGGTAAACTGCGCTGCTAAAAAAAACAGAATTCATCCTGGTACGCTTTGCTGTCAGTTAGTCAACACGCCATTTCAATAAAACATTTACCAAAATCGTGCTTCCGTGAAAAATGCTCATATAAAAAGAGATCAGATTAAATAATCATAGGATGAATGAATGGATTTAAAACCGGCATTTAGTCATTTTTCTTCTTTTGTTTGTCAAAGTTCTGAATTCTGCTCCAGCGTCAGACGATGACGGTCTGAAACACAACAGGAGGTTTTAGCTCGCTCCTCTGCACTTTGTCTGAAATTTTCCACTCGGGAGCAGCTTTTGTGGAGGTGTAATGGAATTCTCCCTCAGGTCACGACAGGCCTCGCGGTGGAAAAGTCTGAAAGCGATAGGCGTGTGCGGCGAGGGGCTGCAGACACGTCTGTCCCCAAACATTCGCCTCAGAAAGAGTAGCGCTGATGTGTGTGAGTGTGTGTTGCATTTTTAGTGTGTCTTGGCGTGGTGTGAGCAGGGGGAAACTGGTGAGTGGTTCAATGTGAACGGGAGCAGCTCTGATTGTCGGGGGGAGAGGGGTGGGGGGGGGGACGGAAACAGAAGAGTCATCCTTAAACTGGGGGACTCCTCTGGGTTGGATGAAGTGACTCAATACATATATATATATATATATATATCCACATATCTATCATTCAGCAAGAAAGAACGAGTAGACAAAAATAGCCCAGCATTTTATGCTTTTGTGAATTTAAAAAAAAGTCTTTGATGACTGAAACAAAGATGCCTTCAACTGACTGTTTTACATGAAGAGCACAGAAATCCATAATGAAAACAAACTGATGACAGTTCGGCCTCTTGTATGAATGTACTTTTGTTTATTTTTCAGAAGCTGAAAGTCCAAAGAAAAAAAAGTTTTCCAGTTTTGCTAGTCAAACATATTCATTTGACTGGGAAAAAAAACATTTGTCTGTGTGATTGTAAAACCCTGTAAAAAACAAACAAGCCTTTTTTTTTTTTAAACAGCTGGTACATGATTCAGCCTCACGTGTTATGCAGTTCAGTGAGACATTTCTTGAGTAACTGGATCAGATAAAGATCAGATGACAGGGATGATGTTTTAATGGAAACGGGAAGTTCGTCTCTCGGCAGTGAGGTTAAATCCATTTTATCTTCGACATATTTGAATATTCAGTTTTGGTCTGAACCAAGTCAATGAGACATTTGGAGAAATAAACAGAATTACTGGGTTTCTCAGTCAAAGTCAGACTTCAAATAAGCACTTAGACTTTTGACTGAGTTAGATTGTTAGTTCTTCAAACTGGCAAACGTTCAATCCTTTTGTTTAAAAAGAAAATTAACACAAAAAAAGGTCAATATACAGCTTTGCAGTTGAAATACTAAAGAAGCTTTCTCATTTCAATATGTTTCAGACTACTTTTGGGCCCTTCCTATCTCCACAGCTCACTGCCTGGGAAAATAAAAAGATAACCAGGACGAGGATTTGAAGTGTATTTCAGGGTACGAGGAAAAAAAATAAACATTCTGAAATAACGAGAGGCTCAACTTTCAGCTCTCAGCAGCTCATATAAACAGGTCCAAGCTTTCCTGGACGTCCTCTGGATCTAAAGGCTCCCTCAGAGTCGGGGGCTTGTGGGTGAAGGCGTCACCGTCCACGCCACACACCTGCCCCTAATCTCACCCCCCGTATCCATGGCAACGCTAGATCTAATGCTTCCATGGCGAGTTTGAACTCGACCACCCGAATGAAGACCACGTCCGTTAATAACCAAAACTCAAATGCCACCTGCCTCAGGGCTCCGGCTGACCTCTGACCTCTTGTGCGACGGCTCGTTTGCGCCCACACTTCCTGCGTCTAGCCACATTTTCCTCTCAAACAAACGTGTAGGAGCAGGCTCATTTTCAGGAGTCGGGTTCCAGCTTGCAGCGAGATATTTAACCCAGGAAACGGTACGGTGCGTTTTGGAACATCTGGAATAACCTGCGCGCTGTTGGCCGGGGAGGATCAGCGGCACAGTCAGGAGACGGGCAGCAAAGGGAGGTTTCAGGGAAATGTAATTAGTTTTTCTCGTCCAGACGTTTCAAACTTCTGCGCCGCTTCACGCAACTTGAGACTCAACCTTTGAATTCACCCACAAGACGGTTCATCTGACCAACTTCTCTGGAAGCAAAGAAAATACTAAACGACTACTAAAAGTTTGAATCTTTTCCACTTTAATGAAACCAGACTCGTTTATAGTCAGCATTTAGCCTATTTACATTGTGAGGTGCTCAGTGGTGCCACAAACGGCTCGTGATCCAGAGGGAGCTCTTCACACGTGCACCCTCACTGTTCATATTTACATGTTAGCGGTGCCCCACAGATCTGTGGACAGGCGGCTTAGACCCTGGGGGTTTTACAGCTTTACTTTGGTTAAAAAAGGTGGCTCTCGGTCTGTTACCTGAAGAAAAGCGACACGGTTCGGTTGAAAAACGAAACCAGACCTGAGACAAAAAAAGAAAGCAAAATACTTCTTGAGAGACTCTAGGATTACTTTGATCTTCTAATCTAATCACAATCAAGTTTTCTTGCTCTTTCCAGTTTTAATACAAGTGTTTCATTTCATTAAGCAAATCTTTATTTATGTGTGCGACCATTGACCTCCTGATGCCATTTAACACATTTCAGAAGTTCTACCTGATACCTGGTGAGGAAAACCAGCACATAAGGCTAACTCAGCTCTGATTGGAGCGTCACTGCTTACACACAAAAGTTCATGAATTTTCTGTTCTGTTCCTCTACAGGTGTGGCCCCGCCCACACGCCACTGAACAGGAAATCCAATCTGATCCAGCATGACAAAAAACAAACCCACACCAGCCCTCTTGATTAAAAGCCCCAGCTTGTGCGGCTGCACTGTAAAACCGGACGTGCTGGCTGCTCTTCTTTATCCCGTTTATCGTTTAGTAGCTCACACCGACCTACAGCGGCCTCCAAATCAACCAGGACTGAAATCTACAGATTGAGATAAAAAGAAAAATAAATAAAAAAAAACAAACAAACCAAAGGCCTGACGTGCTTGTGCTGAGGAGTGGAGTTGTGTCGGGTCTGCCGGCTCCGCCTTTAACCCCACCAGCGTGCCCTGGGAGGGGGGGGCGTGGTGGGCGGAGCAACCTCGAACACCGAGCCCGGTCCCACCGACGAGCACACGAAGTAGAAGTTGGCGCCCAGCATGGCCAGAATGGGGAAGAAGGAGAATCCGAAGCCGAAGGCCCGGACGCTGCTGCCCAGGCAGAGGCAGAGCCAGTAGATGAGCCTGCAGACAGAGACGGTCAGACTCCGCCAGCCTGACCACCCGGGGGGGGGGGCTCTCAGCGGAGCCATTCCATGTGTCGGCTTCTGCGAGCCTTTCGGTGGTTTTGTGTGAAGCGCTTAACGACTCAAAATGATAACAGTTTTCTAGAGACTCCTTTTCAAAGCCATCCTTATTTTCTCCTCTCATGGGTGTGATTGTGCCTCTCAGTCTTTCAGAGGCGCCTCAGCAAAAACATGAAGCCGACATTTAAAAAGCCCATGATGACTTGTAGAGGATTTGTTTTTTTCTCTTTTTAATCTAATCCCTGAGTTTTATTGTCTTCACACTAAAAGGGATCTTGATTTTTATCATAGAACTAAAGGAGGTGTGTTGTTCCTCAAATCAAAGACGACTTTTTAGAAGTCTGAATTTGTGAAATTGCTCACTCCAAAGTGGAACGTGGAAGTGTACAAATGATCTGTGGCATGTGAAAGAAATCTCTGCTTGAAGCAGAGTGTGAGGACCAACAGATATGACAGAACAGTTTGCTTAGCAGCAGCAGTTCAGGATCCAGTTACAGCAGAATTGATCAGATAAGTTAAACATTAACCCACAGCAGCTGTAAATGGTTTGCTGAAATACTTCAGTGGGACAGTTTGTGGTTTCTCACTGACCGGAGCTTAACTCTAGTAGCACAGGGTCGTGTTTAATTAGAAATATATTTAAAACTCTTAATAATAACTAGTTCTTCTCTGAAATTCTAAAAGTTAGAAAAGAAACATGGCGGGGTTGAAAACAAGGCTGTATTTGTTGGTTTTACATGACTCTTATCTATTCTGCGTATTTCCCTCATATCAACTGAGTCAAAGCGTAAGGACAAAAAATACTGATTACATTAAGTAGCAACACACACGTTCATACTGGGAGAGTTTGAACTTCCTTTCCAGCCTGATGTGAATCAGTCTTAAACGTCTTGGGATGTTATAAAAATCTTATATTTCCTGTTAAAAACCATCTGAAACACCCTGAAGGTTCTTTTAGATGAGGAAGATTCTCCGGCTTTTCCTGCCCTGACCGCTGCTGCCGACATTCTTTGTGACTAAACCTGAACGTGCTAAACGTTCTCTCCTCTGTGTCCACACGTACCTGCCGAACACAAAGACGATGCTGAGCAGCGGCACCAGCTTCACCAGGTCCTGGCTGACGTAGGTGGCCATGACGGCTAGTTGCAGGAAGTAGAAGAGGAAGAGGGCCACCGACTCGTTGACGAAGTGCCCGTGCACCATCACCTCCCTGTTCAGCTGGTGCCCCTGATAGAGCGGCGCCAGGGCGCCGTAGCGCAGCCGGGCCACGCCCTGCACCAGCACGCCTGGAGGGGGCACGGGATAGGTTAACCCCCCCACGCCACGCTCCACTCTGCTCAAACTGGACACGCCGAGCGAGGCGGCCGACTCACCCAGTAGGATGGGGGTGAGGGCGAAGAAGGAGCAGCGCAGCGTGTACACCACCCGCAGGGGGGCGCTGTCCAGCAGCGGGCAGTCGAAGGGCAGCAGCTCGTAGCCCCCCCACACCAGGAGGGGGAAGAGCAGCCCCGCGGCCAGCGTGGCCAGAACCAGCCGCAGCTTCTCGCTGCACAGATTCTCACACATGTCTGAGGGGGGGGAGAGCATACAGGAGAAAGTTCATAACAGGGAGGCCAAAAGGATGTGGAGCTTAAAACGCCTCTCATCCTAAAATGTGATTGGGTGTCGAGTGTTAAAGAGAGCTCTGGAGCGGTCCTGAGAACCAGCTGTGGCCAGCTGTGAGTCTCGCCGGTAGATTCTGATGTGCAATGAGCAGAGCTGTGTGTGGATGGAAGCTCAGCCTGCTCACTCGTTTTGTCTCAAGGTCCCGTTAAAATGGAAGATATCTTCTTCCAGGATGTCATTTCTAGGACTTAAACTCTTTTGCCCATCGCCTTTAGAGACTTTACCAGCTGCTCAGTTACTGAATCCATCAATAATGATTTAGATTCCGCTGATGTTTACAGTAAAAACTTCTCATTCAAACCTGCTTTAGCTGGCGCATTGTTTGTTTTTTGTTTGCTTTTATTATAAATGATTGCATTTAATTCCTTGAATAGTCTTCAATAATTCTAAAAAAAGGTCCTAATCTTAGATGCTTTTTCTGGCTGGGACTGCCCCCCCACCTCCCCCACTCACAAGCCCCTGGCCTCTGCCGGACACTCACTGTAGCTGTCGTCCTGCATGTCCATCTCGGGGTAGAACTGCACCTCCGCCTCCGCCTGCGGCTCCCTCTCCGCCGCCTCCTCCGGCAGGAGCTTCCTCTCCTCGCGGGGGTCTCGGCCGGCCGGGTTCATGATCGTCACCAGCGGCGTGAAGCCCAGAGCGTGTTTCTCTGGGACCAGCTCTCCATCTTCCTCCTCCTCCTCCTCCTCATCGTCGTCGTCCTGCTCGTCGTCGGCGAGCGAGCCGTCTCCTTTATCGGAGCGCCGCGCCTCCATCTCGTCGTCCCTCCACCTTTCCCCCTCCGGCATGCTCTCCCTCCACCTGGCTTTGCTGTTGGCCTGGCTCTCCATCTGGGCCTGGTCCTCCGACAGGTCCTGGCTGCCCCCGCTGATGCCCGTGTCGTTCTCCTCAGGCCCTGAGATGTCGCCCCCCTGCTCCAGCAGGTGCCTCTTGCCCAGGTCTCCGGGCCACGGCAAAGTGCTCGGCTCTAGGTGAGCCGAACTTGCCATTTCCTCCTCTTCCTCCTCCTCCTCGTCTGTGGTGTCCCCTCTCCCATCGACACTCTTACCGTCTCGTGGCTTTCTGCTTCCTTGTATTTGTGGCTCCGCTATGGCACCAGAGGGTAAGATCGCCACCTCCTTTAAATCTACCACCAACCCACCTTGTTCTGACATTCTCAGTTTTTTTTTTTTAATGTTTTCTTTTTTCCTCTCTGTTCAAAAGCCTGACTGTTAGCAGCTTTCCCACCAGATGCTGGAAGCCATTTGTGGATGATCCCCTTTGGAAAGAATCAAAGAAATGACAACCTTGAGCTGAACAATAATGTCAAAGTTCACTGTTTATCGTGGGTGTGTCACAGGGCTTGTCCTCCACCCCTCCCCACCCCCACCCCCTCCCTCCCTCCCTCCCTCCCACTCACACACCACACCATAAACGTTCAATACAATATGTTTGTGTTCCTGACACCTGATCTGTACCTCCATTAAACCAGCCAATGGAGAAGTCTAAAATCTCCAAATAAAGTCAAAGTGAATTACATAGTGTACTGGGGGGAATCATGATAAATATGTTAATATTAGCCAAAAATATGTTTGGAAATGCTCGTCGGGGGCTCACAGCTCCAACTGCGGAGGAATGTGGTTTCAGGTGAAGTCAGAACTTGTTCAGCAACTCGGTATTTACTTCCGAGACATAAAAAAAGCGCAGAAAAACAAGCCGGAGCTCAGCGGCCAACATACCTGCTTCTGTTCTGGTCACTTCACATCGCTCCGCTTCGGGTTTCTGCCCTGAGTGAAGTCTTTTCTCACAGGTAAAAGTCGAAAGTTACCTGGCAGGTGAAAGCACGCGGACAAATCAGCTCTCCGCCCGCAGAGGACCTAACGTGAGGAGGTATCACTCCGCCCCAAATCCGCGCGCTGGGGGCGCCGGCGCACCGTGGCCTCTGAATATGACGTCATTTAGTGTTTGTAGTCTTTTCTGGCAGTGGAAAATCCGCCATTGAAACAGGCTTTTTAAGAACCGGAGAATAGCACGCAGGTGCTCATCAAAAGCCAAAATCCGTGTATCACTTTTGCTCAGGCCGTCTGAGCTACCATCCAAAGAAAAAGCAAGTTACAAATGCAAACCATACAAAAGATACCTTCAACCATAATAATCGATATTCTTAAAAAAATCCTGAGGAACAAACAGATTAAATAAGAAGTGGGAATGTATTTTCATAAATATGATCAATCAACCACCGAGTCAGAATAGCAGCTATTCAATCCTTTTCACAAGTTTCTTTCATCCACTCCAGGCAGAGGAAAGAGTACTGGGGGCATTTTTCCTTGTGTTTCCCCAGATTCACAGCAAGCGTCTCCTTCAGGATGGAGCAAAATATAATTTCCATTGGGAGGTGGGGTGTTTAAACTGTTATTTAATTGAATTGTTGCTGTGAAGGTCCCCTGATGATCTCCCACGATGCTGCTTAGTAAGCTCTCTGCTCTTATCTTATTATTCTCATATTCATCTTCTTCAATTGAATCATCACCTTTCCTACTCAACACCTCATTCCACATGGAAGCTTTTAATCAACTCAGCCACTCGTGAGTCACTTTGCCTCTGAAATGCAAAGTGACCCCACCGAAATGTCATTAACGGCTAAGTGTAGGTACTATTCAAATGTAGTATATGCAGCATCCGCGTTTCAAAGTTCTGAATGTGTTCAACATTGTTTAGAAAATATTCCACCTCATAGAACGCAAATATTTCCGGTTGTAGTGAGTCATCTTCAATAAACACAAAATCTTTGTGGAGTGAGTCAGGTACATAGTCCAGAAGAGGACTCACAAACAGGATTGGTGAGCTTTCAAAGAGCATGTTTTTTTAATTGTTTTCTTCAGGTAAAGAGTGTGGAGGTGAACAATAGGAGTGGAAGTAAAGAAATAATTCAGAGCAAAGGCACAACACACCGTGGGAAAGAAAACTGCATTTTATTTCCATTTCAACCGTACTCTCACAGATCATCAGCTTCTTGTTTAAAACACACAAAAATACGAACGTCCACCTAAAATACCTCACAACATCCGGGCGTAAAGTCTGTGA